CCCCCCCCCCTCCGCGCCCCCCCCCCCCCCCCCCCCCCAGCGCGCACCCCCCCCCCCCCCCGCCGCCCCCCCCCCCCCCCGCCCCCGGCCCCCCCCACCCTCCCCCGCCCCCCCCCCCGCCCCCCCCCCCCCCCCCCCCCCCCCCCCCCCCCCCCCCCCCGCCCCCCCCCCGCGCCCCCCCCCCCCCCGCACCCCCCCCCCCCCGCCCCCCCCCCCCCCCCCCCCCCCCCCCCCCGCCCCGCCCCCCCCCCCCCCCCCCCCCGCCCCCCCCACCCCCCCCCCCCCCACCCCCCCCCCCCCCCCCCCCCCCCCCCCCGCCCCCCCCCCCCCCCCCCCCCCCCCCCCCCCCCCTCCCCCCCCCCCCCCCCCCCCCCCCCCCCGCGCTCCCTCTCCCCCCCCCCCCCCCCCGCCCGCCACCCCCCCCGCCCACTGTCCCCCCACCCCCCCCCCCCCCCCCCCCCCCCCCCCGGCCCCCCCCCCCCCCCCCCCACGGCCCCCCCGCCCCCCCCCCCCCCACCCCCGCCCCCCCCCCCCCCCGCCCCCCCCCCCCCACCCCCCCCCCCCCCCCCGCCCCTCCCACCCCCCCCCCCCCCGCGCCCCCCCGCCCCCCCCTCCCCCCCCCCGCCCCCACCCCCCTCCCCCCCTCCCCCCCGCCCCCCTCCCCCCGCCCCCCCCCCCCCCCGTCCCCCCCGCCCGTGCTCCTCCGCGCCGCCCGCCGCACCGGGCGCGGCCGCCCCCGCCCCCCCCCCCCCCCCCCGCCCCGTCGGCCCCCGCCCCCCCCCCCCCCCCCCCCCCCCCCCCCCCCCCCCCCCCCCCCCCCCCCCCCCCCCCCCCCCCCCCCGCCCCCCCCCCCCCCTCCCCCCCCCCACCCCCCCCGCCCCCCCCCCCGCCCCCCCCCCCCCCCCCCCCCGCCCCCCCCCCCCCACCCTTATTTACCCCCCCACGCCCCCCCCCCCCCCCCCCCCGCCCCCCCCCCCCCCGCCCCCCCCCCCCCCCCCCCCCCCCCCCCCCCCCCCCCCCCCCCCCCCCCCCACCCACCCCCTCCCCCCCCCCCCCCCCCACCCCCCCCCCCCCCCCCCCCCCCTCAGCCCCCCCCACGCCCCCCCCCCCCCCCCCCCCCCCCGCCCCCCCCCCCCCCCCCCCCCCCTCCCCCCGCCCCCCCCGCCCCCCCCCGCCCCCCCCCCCCCCCCCCCCCCCCCCCCCCCCCCACCCCCCCCCCCCCCCCCCCCTCCCCCCCCCCCCCCCCCCCCCCCCCCCCCCCGCTCCCCCGCGCCGCCCCCACCCCCCCCCCTCCCCCCCCCCCCCCCCCCCCCCCCCCCCCCCCCCCCCCCCCCCGCCCCCCCCACCCCCCCCCCCCCCCCCCCGCCCCCCCCCCCCCCCACCCCCCCCCCCCCCCGCACCCCCCCCCCCCCCCCACCCCCCCTCCCCCCCCACCCCCCCCCCCCCCCCCCCCCCCCCCCGCCCCCCCCCCCCGCCCCCCCCCCCCCCCCCCCCCCCCCCCCCCCCCCCCCCCCACCCCCCCCGCCCACCCCGCCCCCTGACCCTCCGCCCCCCGCCCCCCCCACCACCCACCCCCCGCCCCCCCCCCCCCCCGCGCCCCCACCCCCCCCCCACCCCCCCCACCCCCCCCCCCCCCCCCCCCCAGGTTTATTATTTGTCATGATTCTTAAGATTGGGAGGATGGAATGTCGTTTAAATTTTCTTTGCACATTTTGTTGGAATTGGCTATATTTCTTGACAATTTCTTCGAAGATACATGGGAACCTTCCCTCATACAAATGCGACAATCATCGCGGCGAAAGCCAGTAATTTTCGCAAAAGGAGCCAAGCACTTTGTATAATTTTTATTAAATGTAATATTCCCATAATTCTTCTGCGCTTATACATGCGCCTTGTGAACATCCACGAACTTGGTTTTTCTCTCTGTTAGAATTATTATATAAAATGAGACTATGCCGATTATCAAGGAAATTATTGAATCATGTAATAGATATTAATAAGTACATTCACTCTTTCGAAGTGCTTCTTAATTTGAGGGCCGCCATAATGAATCAAAGGCGTGATTGAGACCAAGCTGATTATTGCGGAGTGTAAGTTTATTGATTTTATTACATGGATTTGGTTTAGGACTGCACTGGTTGCATGAATGGTATATTTTGCTGCCTAAATCACACTGTTTTCATTAATGATTTATGATGGTGAAAATGGTATTCAGTCTTCCTATAATACAACTTTCCAGATTTTCTCCAAGGGATGGTAGAAGTTAAATTGGCCGATAGTAATTATATTTTCATGAGCTTTGTTCTTTTTGAGGAGAGTATTTTGTCTTGTTTATAGCAGTCTTGAAAAATACCAAGTCAGACATTTATTGCAGATTAGAATTAAGCTTAGGATTACATTTTACTTTTATTTTATATTTGATAGCAGATTCTATCTGGTCCAAGAGCATCTCGTTATTGAGTTTTTTAATAAATATATTTCAGTTCGCTGGCTGTAAATGTGTTATCATTTTCTTGGAAGTAGATTACAACGAATTAATCTTTGTTCATTCAATCATCAATATGTTTTCTTTGTAGAATACCATCTAGAATTTTTCTAAAGTGATCTCGTACATTTTTTCATTATTTCCCTATTAGTGACTGTAAGTTGCGTTGGGGGAGATTTTGTTTGGTTTCATTTTGTACAATGAGCCATACGTTACTGTTGTTTGAACAATAGTTTGCACCCATGCTTAAAGCTTTGCATACATTATTTGCTTTTATATGGGGCTTTTTTCGTTTTTTTGTTTTTTGAAGTAGGTTTGAGTCGTTGCTCATTAGTTTGCGATTATTTCAGTTTCTATCGTAATTCTCGTGTTTTTGTGTTTTACTTAGCGGAGTTCTTTCGTCACCAGTTGATTTTTATAATGGTATGGATATCTTTTGATAAGGTACGTTTCGTAGGTTATCTTGAAACTTTCTGATAAGTTCCTTGTATTTATTAAGTTCTTTTTTGGTTTACCAGAATATAGCATTTAGAAAAGTCATTTGAAATTGGATTGGAACTTTTGGTGTAAATTCTTTTTTTTTTTTGTTATTTTGATTTTAAATCCTGTAAGTGCAGTAAAGGCACGTATATTCATTAATCAAAAGAGATATATTTTTTATAAGATTTCGTATGTTCATCTAGTATTGATCTGTGTTAATTTTATTATCAGATGTGTTTAGAAATAGAGATCAGTCCAATACTTTTGTAGGAGGTATTATCAGGTATGTCGGTCAGTAAAATGATTATGTGAATGAGATTATTTGCATTTAATAAAAATTCTTCAAGTATTCTTCCTCGTGCTCGTTTTGTAAGTATCCCTCATTAGTACTTTGCGAGTTAAGTCTCCCCAAAAAACCTGCGGACTAATTATTATGTTGTAAGATTTCATTTAGTATGGATAGTTTTTGATTGGATTTTTGACGGAGATATATAGATACTAGTAAGAAAAGCTGAGATGGCATTAGTATTGGATGAAATTGTGATTATATCCTCGATTATTAATTTATGTAGAATACCATTTTTTTTTGGAATGAATATGGGCTGTACTTACAGGATATAAAACAACCCGTTGAAAGGCATGACGTTGCATATTGCCGCAGTTATTTGGACTCTTCCTAATTTTGCTCAGTGATGCAATAAATGTTTCTTGATTATAATATAATCTGCCAGATAATCATCTTGCTACTGACATAGTGGGTTCGTGGGCGGTCTTTGCTCTTTGAGATTTATTTTTGAGAAAGCGATGCCATTGTTTCTTCTTTTTTTGATGAAAGTGTCTATAATATCGTGCAGGATCTTGCATTAATTGTTGATAATATGTATTGGATTTTTCCCTCGTCTATACTTCTGTTGATAGGTGGACCGGAATAGCTAAAGCTGGATTTTTACAGTCAAATTTTGTTTCAACTTTTTATTCGTTAATATCCAACAGATTTATGCAGTCACGAGTTTGGAATAACAGTAAGAAACATATTTCCCGCCTTAGAGAGCATTTTGGTTTGTTTGTCGTTGAGAGAATCCTTACAGACCTTGCATCTGCGTACACAACCGATAAACTCTGTTTTTTATTGGTGCGCCAGCGTCAATATAGATTTGTGTTTTTTTACTCATAAAATTTTGGAAAGTTTGACCGTGACATTTGATCGCATTATCGTATTTATTTGATAATTCAGTTTAAATTAAAGGCCTTAGGTGGGAAATAGTTGATTATGTTTCTTGGGCTTAAATTTTGAATCAGTTTCATCAGAGTTTGAAATTTTTGGAGTATTATGATTGTGCATTTTTGTATTTGGCTTCCGGAAGTTTTACGTTAACTATATCTTTTTGCAACTGTTTGCAATGATGTTATAGCTGATTTTTCTATACCTTCTGGCTTATTAACGGTGTAATTGCAAGCTAACGCTCCTGAAGAAAGGTGTTTATATTTCTTTTGACGTTGATATTTAAACTGCTTGCAGTGGTATTATTTGCAGTGGTTATAAATGATTTATTTGTTCGATTTTTCTTTCCGATCTGGCTTCGTTTGGTCATTAAATCAATCGTTCTAAACAGTCGTTATCCCAGTTCTGGCTCTTTTCGCATTTCATTCCGTTTCCTTCATTTCGGTTGACAGTCTTTTTCCGTTTCCTGTGGTTTTGCAGATTTTGGATTATTTTCCGTTTTTTTGCTTCTCTTTCCAGGTATATTGCGTCTTTCTGACTCATCTATCTTTCCAGTTCTGGCATCTTTTTTCTCGGCTCTTGCTTCTTTTCATTTTTTGCATTTTTTCCAGTTCTTCTTCTTTTTCAGTTCTTCTTTGTTTTTAGTTTTTGCATTTTTTCCAGTTTCTTCTGCCTTTTCAGTCTTCTTTGTTTCACTTGTTTTTGTATCTCTTCATTTGTTTCTCTATTTCCAGTTCTTGCTTCTTCTCTTCTTTCTTTCTCGTTTTTGTATCTCTTCCAGTTTTTCTTGTGTTTTTCAGTTCTTTTTCTTTTCTAGTTTTTGAATCCATTCCAGTGTTTTGCTTCTTTTTCAGTTCTCTGCTTCTTTTCTCTAAGTTTCTGTTGCTTTCTCCAGTTTTTTGTTTGTTTTTCAGTCTTCCTTTTTTTTTCCAGTTTTTGCTTCTTTTTCTTTTCTGCTTTTTCAGTTTCTTCTTTGTTTTTTATTTTTGCATTTTTTTCCAGTTCCTTCTGCCTTTTCGTTCTCTTCAGTTCTTCTTTGTTCACTTGTTTTGTTTCTCTTCTTCTAAGTATTTTCTCTCCATGTCAGTTCTTCTTTCTTTTCTAGTTTTGTATCTCTTCCCGTTTTTTTCTTGTTTTTCAGTTCTTCTTTTTCGTTTCTAGTTTTTGAATCCATTCATGTTTTGCTTCTTTTTCCAGTTCTTGCTTTCTTTCTAGTTCTGTTGCTTCTTCCCAGTTTTTGTTTGTTTTTCAGTTCTTCCTTTCTTTTCCAGTTTTTGCTCTTTTCCTTTCTGCTCTTGTTTCATTTTCCGTTCTTGCTTCTTTTCCCTTTTTGTTTTGCCTTCGCTTCCTGCTCTTGCTTCGTTTTCATTTCTTGCTTCTTTTCCAGTTCTTGTATCTTCTCCGGTTCTTGCTTCTTTTCTAGTTTTTGTATCTTTTCCAGCTTTTGCTTCTTTTCTAGTTTTTGTTTCAATTCCAGTTTTTTCTTGTTTTTTCAGTCTTGCTTCTTTTCCAGTTTCCTCCTTCTTTTTCTCCTTTTCTCCGTCTTTTTCCGGTTCTTCCTTTTTATTCAGTTCTTGTTTCTTTTCCAGTTCTTGCTTCTTTTGCAGTTTCTCCTTCTTTTGCAGTTTCTCCTTCTTTTCCGGTTCTTCCTTTTTATTCAGTTCTTGTTTCTTTTCCAGTTCTTGCATCTTTTCCGGTTCTCGGCTTCTTTCTAGTTTCTCTCTCTCTCGGTTCCTGTTTTTGCTCCTTTTCATGATCACAAGTAGGGTTTTTCCCAATCTACAAAATAATCAGTATATCTTTTATTTTCAGTAGTAAAAAGTGAAAGTGATGTCAACGACGATACGTTTAACATTATTTACAAACAACCACTTAATATTTTAGATACTTATAACACTTTGGGTCATTTTCATAGGGAAAAATCTCCCCGTAGATTATGGCCTTACAGAATATTTTCTAGCAAAGGGCTAATTGTTGTTTTCTTTATAAAGGCCTAAAGCCAAGCAGAGAGTTAAAGAATTTGGCGTGATTTGTATGCAATAAGCGCGCACCATGAATCTCACGTAGAGTGTGATAAATTTTGCAAGTTCAGCAGTGCCTTATACTTTTCCTTACTTAATTTTTACATAAAGTGTTGTGTAATAATAATAATATTAATATAAACAGCGTGTCTTAAAAACAGAGGGAACAATGGGAAAAATTGTCAAAATATAGAAAAAAGAACTAATCAAAAATTGACACAACTACAAAAAAAAAAAAAAAAGATGGAAAAAGCATCTTAGAAGATATACACGTAACGTTCTCTGATCAGAAAAACCTGTATTTAAAACGAGTATAATTTTGATAGCTTTAGTTCATTTAGGTTTTGAATCAATCTTACGCTTGCCTAGATATTTTAATTTCTTCAATTTTGTTAATTTACTTACGTATTTTGTATTTAACCTTTTCTTATTATTATCCCCAGTAGAGGTAACCTATCACATCATTCATTATCTCCGAGTTTCCTCATTTAGTCCATCTTTCTCTCAGAAGATCCTTTGCAATCGCTGGCTGCACAGGTTTCAAATTTTCTTCTTGTTATTATTCCCATATTCGGAAATATTGCTGGTTCTATTTCTCCCCGTCCAGCCGAGCAGCACTAGGAGTTTTTGCCACCATGTTTGAATTGAAAATTTTATTCTCATTCTCGTACTTCTTTAAGTTTTAATTATTTATCGGAACAAAAGAAAGAAATCAAACACATAAAACAAATTAGAAAAGAAATATCTGTTTTTCTCCCTTATTTAATTGTTCCCTGTAATTTCTTTTGCCTGTTCCATTAAATTTTAGTTTATTGAAGTAAAATTTGCTAGGATTTTTCAAAAATGTATTCCTAAATCCGTTATGGCACTTAAGCCTTTCTGAGCGTTTCGGTCTATGGCGCGAAATTCACTTTAATGGCTTTCACAATGTTAATGTTTGAATATTGACATCTGGCCTATACTGAATATTTTTCTCCATTGTCCTCGAAAAAAGAAGTTAAAGTTCCAGGAGATTTACAATGAAGGACACACATTTCTTATTTGAGGGCAAGAGGAAAAAAATAAGATATTTTCGGATGGGAATATGTATATTGTAAACACCGTGTTTGTAAATTTCATATATAGTAAGCACACTTGTGTCATAAGTAATTAATGCACATATTGAGAGAGACGACATCGAGGAAAATGAAATGGCAAAACAGGGCCGAAACAACTTTCCTTGCCGTTATCAAACAACACAAAACACAGAAAGAACGGACACCAATTATGCTTACACCGAGAAATTAAAAAATAGGAACAAAATTAGACCTGTATGGACCTCAACGAAGGTGTTCGAAATTTAAACGACCTGCCCCGATGCGGTAATCACATCTCTCGCAGCATCGACCATAGATGTTTCTGGAATTACTGTGCATCCTCAGGACTTTCCCAGCAGCTGCCACGATATGTGCCCAATTTTCTGTTTGACTTTCTAAACAGGGTTTCATTGCACGAATGTGTTTGAATTACCCCCGAGCGGCAAGTGATAATGCAAGTGAGGTCTCGTGATCTGCTGAACAATGCTCTGGGGACTACCCTACCAACCCATGTATTAGGATACTTTCCTAGGAACTTTCGATACTTTCTTCAAGACAATCCATGTTTTTGTTCTTATTTTCTTAGTTTTTCGCTGCGCTAAATAATAAGAAATTCTTTACATGTTCGTACGTCGTACCCTATTTTTCTTGTGTTTGTCTCTCGGCCACATAGCCCAGGAAAGCGTTCCGACGCATGCTTCAATAAACGATTATATATATAATATATTTATTTCCTAAACAATATTGATTATTGATTATATTATCTCCTATGTTAATTAAAGTAGAATTCTTTTAAAGAGTGAATCCATACTGGTAAGTTATATTTCGAAATATTTTTGAAGTAATGTGAAAGCAAAATGTTAATAATGTTTTTGGTTAATAATGTTACATAATGTTTTTAGCAAAATGCAAAATGTTAATAATGGGGCTAGGTTAAAATCATCATGAAGAATAAAATTTCAATTGTTAAAGACACTTTAAAACCATGTACTCATTGTCATTGTCGGAATTATGACTTTTCAGGGGAACAAACCCACTCCCATTCACGAACAATAATTGATCAAAATACGTAAATAGAAGGTGTTGCGTCTTTACTCGAGTTATAAGTTAAGCCGAACGGCAATTCTAGTCAGGCCAAATATCTCCGTCGAATAGAAAGGGATTATGATCCAAGCTAACGCAAGAACTTATTCTTATGAGGCAATTTAGTCAATTCCAATTTGGAGTAAAAGCAAAATCTGTAAGAAAATTTTCGATATACCCGAGTAACCGTCCCCCACACCTTCATGTTATGCATTTGAGTTCTATATTATTTTTTTAAAATATTAAACATTGGGAAATTCAATTTGGAGTAAAAAGCACAATCTGTAGAGAAGCCTATATAACCCGATAACCGTCCCCGACTCCTTCATGTTTAATTTTTTGAGTTCCCTATTGAATATTGTAAAAATTAAACATTGGAATTGTTTATTATGAATCGAATTCAAAGTAAAGTTGAAATAAACATAAATATTACAAAATAAGATAAATATGTCAAAGTTTGTAAAAACAAATCAAAGACAATATAAAGTATCTAAAAAAATGTAAAAATAATATATAATAAGAACAGTGAATGTACATGAAGATATAAAGGCCCAGAACATGTATTAAGTAACTTACACATTCTTCTAGTGGGGAAGTTGGCAAGTAATTCTCTTCATGTCTGACTCATAAGTGTTGGTTGTCCGAAATTCTTAGCGGCAGTGGGGCGTTGAATAATATCAGTCTGTAGACTTGGGTGAAGTAATTTTGGTAGTGGGCTTGGGCTCGATTCTTGATGAGTGTATTTGTGGAGTTCTTATGTTTGAGGGGAAATGTCTGTTCAGATTTTTTTGAAAATACTAGTGAATGGAATTAATTATTTCTCTGGCTTAATTGTCGTTTCGCAATGATTAATATTTAAGAAAGGAAAAAAGGAATTTTTCCACTGTCCAGAGGCTATTAACAGACAGTCATGAAATAGCCCATTTTTTTGTACAGTATAGTAACGCATAAGCCTGAAGACAATTAGTTTTACAATATATACAATGGAGTAATTACACTATTTAACAAATCCTTCAACTGATGTCATCCACTTAAACCGCCTTCTCAAGGTTTAGGGAACAAATTATCATATCCCTATCAGTTCATATTTCGGGTGAGTATTTAACGCGCTGCTCTTTTAAGGCAATGGTTTGATAAATTGAATGGGTATTAGATTATTTTTGAGATTTTATAAGGAGCAAATTTCGCGTTGTAAACTATTGTATCTGTCCATATAAGTTTAATTCGTGTTTTGATAATTATAGTATGTTAATTACTTTTTTTGGATTGTTGGAGTTTCCTTTTTTATTAATTTGTTAGTACTTGAAATTTTAAGTTCTGTTTTGGTCAAAAGTAACATTTTTGTTTGTAGTTAATGATTTGGAAGATCTAGAAAGTCTATGCTATTTTGTGAATTATTATTTTATTAAGTGTAATACATTCGGATAATCTCTGGTGTTCAATTTTATTCCAAAATATTAATTGTATTAGGTCCTCAATATATCTGTAGGTGTGTTTGGTAGTAATTTAACTCTTGGTGGTTGTAGATTTTTTCGAAGTTAAAGTCTTTGACCAATAAAAGATTACAAGATCGAGGTGCTGGAATGTACGCCATTGGCATCCCTCTTACTTTTTAAAAAAATTTGATTTTGAAACTTGTGTAGTTATGAAAAAGTGTGCATTTTATTGTAGGTTTCCCATTTGTCAAGAGTCATGATATTGAGCATATCAGGGAAGATTTAGTTAGATTCACGAGACTGGTATAGATTTCTTCTAGAGAGGAAGTGAGGTATATAATTTTTTTTCAAAGTCATGCATATGTTTTTTATGTTAATAATGGTTTGAATAGATTAATGACAGGAGTGTTATTAGATGATCCAGGATTGTTTTGATTTAGTGTTTACAATCTGAAATAAATTTACAGATTTTTTATTGAATTGAAAAATATAGTCTCATTTTCTTGTAATTTATAGTTTCCATTAGCAATAAATCTGAATTTTTATTGTGTTTTTAATGGAATTTGGGAATCGCATAACGATTAGTACATCTGTTTTTAGTTGTCATTGAAGTAATATTGAGTTTCTTATGAAGTTTTTAAACCTGTTTATTATATGATGTTCTGTAAGGTTGGCTAATTGATAAGTGTCGCCGTTGAGAAGTTCTTGTTAATGAATAATTTCTGCGTAGAAATTTTTTCATATAAAGCTAAAGTTATTAGTTGTTTTAAAACTATTTTTGTAATAGTAAAGAGTGTTTTAATTTTATATAGCTGTGTAAGTTCGACCAATTCAGTGTACTTTTAACTTGAAGGTGACTGATTTCGGTGGATATGCGTTGAGAATTTGGCTTTCCATTTTTATCAGGTATCTATTGGTAATTCATTTGATAGGCTTGCTTTTAACTATAACTTTGTTGATGTTGGTTTTCGAAAGTCTGTAACAGAACAGAAATTTGTAGTCATGTTTCTGACTGGTCTAATTTTTACCCAAACTCATTATTGGTTTAAGTTGGAGGGTCTTTATGATATTCAGGTTGCAAGTATTAGCGCTGTGATGAAATCCACGTATTGTGTAATTGGTGTCTTACATGTCCTTC